AAAGAGACACACAGAAAATTCAGGCTGGAGGAACACAGGGGGTGAAGAGAGAGCAACCACAGCCACCCACCAGCTGACATCACACCCAAGAAACACATTTCTTGTAACCGCATCATTTAACAGATGAAAACATACACTCAAACTCTAAAAATACAGGATTTGGAGACAGGAGGGGGTTCTAACCCTTACAGGCACTCAAACCCCAGTTTCTGTTTGTTCTTGCAGCGGTAGAGCTGGGTTTGTCAGCTCTTGGAAGGTCACGCTGTCCTGCAGCTGTGGCACTGAGCTGCTGCCGGGTGTCACAGCGTCACCGTTGTGCAAAGGAGACTCGTGCAGGCAGCAACGGGCACAGTCGGAGCACCTCAGAGCCATAAGGGAGCAGGACATTCCAGATTTCATTAGACTGGCATCACTCTGCCCTGTGAAAGCAAACCAGCAAGTAGAAACGGGCTCCAGCCCCTCCCAGTTCAAAGCATGTGGAACTGGAAGTTGCGAGCTTCGCAGAAAAAGGCTCAACGAGGCCACAAAACCACTAAGGGTGCAACAAAATGGCAACACTGAGAGCACTGGTGACTCGGGGTGCTTAATTTTTTTTTCAGCCAAATAAGATATAGAGCAATTATCTCTCTTTTCTGCAGAACTACCAGTGCTCTACAGATATTTAATTAATAAAATACATTTCGACTTTCTTACTACTCAGAGTATTGAAAGTACACAGATCACAAACTCCTCGCCATCACCGAGATACATCACTTCATCTGGTAACAGTGACACTACAAACAGTACACAGAAAACCAAACCTCAGCATCCGCTTAGAGAGTTTCGAATGTGCTGGAGTGGGTCCAGAGGAGGGCCACCAAGATGATCAGAGGGCAGATTAACAGAGTTGGGGCTGTTCAGCCTGGAGAAGAGAAGTCTCCAGGGTGACCTTAGAGCAGCCTTCCAGTACCTGAAGGGGCCGACAGGAAGGGTGGAGAGGGACTTTTCACAAGGGTGTGTAGTGATAGGACAAGGTGGAACAGTTCTAAACTGAAAGAGGGCAGATTTAGATTAGATATTAGGAAGAAATTCTTCACCATGAGGGTGGTGAGGCACTGGAACAGGTCGCCCAGAGAAGCTGTGGCTGTCCCCTCCCTGGGAGTGTTCAAGGCCAGGCTGGATGGAGTTCTGAGCAACCTGGGCTGGTGGAAGGTGTCCCTGCTCATGGCAGGGGGGTTGGAACTAAATTATCTTTCAGGTCCCTTCCAACCCTTACCATTCTATTATTCTATGATATGACTGAGTTCAGCTGTATCCCAAGAAGCAGTGAGAAGAAAGTAAATCAGACTCCAAGCAGGTAACACTTTGCTCATCCTGCATCCCCAAGACAGGACACTGCAATTTTGACCCGGAGAGCGATTTTTCAGTACTGAGGTACATATAGTGGGTGTTATGGAGGCTTTCTCGTTCCCTTCCACTTCCAAGAAAAAAGGAAAAAAAAGGAGAAGGAAATGCTGCAATTCTGATATTTTTTTCCTGCACTGCTTACGCACTTCACAGGAAGCAACCAGGCGCACACGCAGCTGAGGCAGACTCCTGGGCTGATGCACTGCACCTCTCTACAGAGAGCAGGTACGAAGAGAGGAGCTACAGAAAGTCCAGGACTGGAGAGACACAAAAGACAGACAAAAAAAAAACGCAAGAGGCAAAAGGCAAAGAGAAAAATAGGAAAGAGTAGATGTTAGCAGGGATAATATCACAAAGGGAAAAAAACCCCAGAGTAATAAAAATCTGGTAAAGGGAAGGAGGAATTTAAATCACCCCAAAGGGAACATATCCTGGAACAAGCAGCACATACAAGTCAAAAAGTCTGGAAAAACACCTGGAAAGCTGGGAACAAGTAAAGTCACGTGTTGGCCTTACAGCCTGCAGTTATCAGCAGAACCACTGCTTGCCTTTACTCAGCCAAGTGTAATTAATTCCTATTTAATAACTGCTACACATATAACAAGAAAATTCAGGGAGACCCCTGCGAATTTGCCAAGTAGAACCAGGAGTTTCCAGCAAAAGCTGTTCCAATGCCAGAAACATTTCTCCTCTGTCACGCACCTTAGATTAAAATGTATCTATGTCTCTGCATACGCAAATACTATTACACGGGGACATAACAGAAGCAGAAACAGAGACTGAACGCCAGTACAAGAGACTTCCAAGCACGTCTCGTTCATCACTTCCCACACTGCGAAGCGACCGATGCGACCGCAGCCGCCGCCCGGCCCCGAACGGGCCTCAGCGCCACGGGCTGTAGCTTTGGGTGGGTGCAGAACCCCCCCCCCCGACAACGTGAACTGATGGGTTCGCTGCCTGCCGGGGGCCTTGGTTCAGAGAAATCGCCGACATCACGACGGAATATTAAAATTCAGGGAATTTACCCACCTTACGTTAAACCCGATTTAGGCTAAAGATGCCAGCATACACTCTTCACTCCACCTGTAGTTTTCATGCGGACTTTTTGCCGTTGAATGTATAGCATACTCCACACAGGATTTGGAGTTACTCAGGATTTGGAGTTAGTTACTCAGTATTTGGAGTTACTCTCCATCAACAACCAGTGAAGCAGCTACCGCTCAGTATGACCACTTTATTTGAGTAAAAGCAGGACATCGCTACTCCTACCTACCAACGCTGACGCTCTGCAATGTATAGCATACTCTGCACGGGATTTGGAGTTACTCAGTATTTGGAGTTACTTAGTATTTGGAGTTACTCTCCATCAACGACCAGTGAAGGAGCTACCGCTCGGCATGGCCACTTTATCTGAATAAAAGCAGGACATTGCTACTCCTACCTACCAATGCCAACGCTCTGCCACCACTCCTGCCTAACCGGAGCGTTTTTGCCGCGGCTCGCACAAGGCTGACCAGAAGAGGTTTCAGACTCCAACCCCCCCATAAAACACAGGGACGAGCAGCTCAGCGTTACCCACTGGGGAGCTCCAGCACCTCGCCGCGTACAGAAAACCGTGGGGAAGAGGGACTGAAAGCAGGCAGCGTCGCTTGGTTAGCTCTAGAGGTTTGCTGTTCCCAAAACGTGAAGGAGGACGACTTGGCCTCCACCCAAGCAGCAGTCAGGCTCGGAGGACACGCCGGCTGCGGACAGCTTGTTCCTGTATTCGGATTATTCGGATCAGGCCAGTATAACCCAGCGCAGCGGCTGTATCCGGCGTCGTGGTGGGGAGAGAAGAGGGAAGTCGCGTGTTCCTGACCCACAAGGTTTCTCTGAGGTTTTCTCATGTTGGAATGATGAGCAAAACTGACAACTTCCCGCTTTTAAAAGCGCATTGCAAAACACACAGTGGTTGCAGGTCAGGCCCGAGCGTCACGCAAAGACTCTAAGTAACCGGTACAACAGCAGAGAGCCATGAAGATGTGCATCAGGGCATCAGCAGCATGTTTTCTTTTAAGGAGGCAGCACTGCAACATGATGGTGATTGAAAAATAATCATTAAGTCACTATTTTCCCCCGTCCCAGTGTCTGTGCAAAACAAGCAGGAATTTTATCGAACGATGCACCACCTCACATACTTCATCTACTAAATGAGTGGTCATTTGCCAGAAAGCAACAGAGACCCATTAAAATCACGTTTTTTCCCCTTGCTTATGCTGCTTCAAGGTGTTATCCAATGCTTCACTAAGACAAGCATTTGCTTTCTTACGCAACAAAACACAGCCTAGAGCAAACTATGCTTTGTCTTTAGAAATACTGCTCCGCTGGAATTGCTCATTTATAGCATCTTTTCTGTACAGGCAGCTGGATGTGTCCTGGCTTGTGCAGCTCGCTAGTAAATCTGATGAACTGCAACACTGTCAGGAAATACGTGCTTCTGTTTAAAGAGAGAAGATCTTAATCTAAGTATTCACTCACTCCTTCCAAAAGCTGGGAGGAAAAAGCAGCATACACTTGGGCCAGGAGTTACTGTTTGGTGAAGACAAGAAAAACCAGCAGGGAAAAAGTTAACAGCGATAATAGATAATGGAAACCCCAACCAGCAGTGCATGCAGGAAGGTTTCTAAATCCATACAGGTTCCTCCAGATGGAAACTTTCACAGGCTTTTAAGGCTTTGTAAGCTTATTTTCTTTAAACCCGTATGAATAAACCCTGTTGCTTCATCTCAAAAGAAAGAAATTGCTCATACATTTTGCAATGCAAAAGCATCAGAACTGTTTCCACATGCAGAAAAAAAATACAAAATAAAGAATAAATCTAAAATGCAGAAAGACTGGACACACGGAAGAGCTCTCTGACAGGTTCAGATCAAAGGTCCTGAAGCAGCTGCTGCTGCAGAGCCCTACAAAACTCCGCGGATCCTCCAAGACAGCTCTTCCCTCCACGACAAGCAGAGAAACTGGACCCTTACAAGCACTTTTACTCCCTGTTGCAACAGCCTGAAAGAGAGCCAGGCTAACAGCAGGCACTTTCACACAGGTTTTCCAGGAGTTCCCCAAATCTTTTCCTTTGTTTGGTAAGTTTTTTTTTTTAATGTTGTCCTCCTGAGGTTGCCTCCCAGATTAGAGGAGATTGTTGGCTTGCAGCCCTGCTCCCATGGTTTCCCTTTTATTAAAATCTTTGCAGATAACCCCAAAAAGCACTCCTAGAACAGCTCCAGCATTTAATAAATTTCAAAACATTCTTTGGCTTTTTTTTTTTTTTAATTTCAAATAGAAATTCTCGAGACCAATGACTCTGCAGCTCCTGAATAGGTACAGATGCTAAGCCCAGCCCAGAAGATGCTTTGCAGCTGCGCAGCCAGGCAGGAGGAGCAGCAGGCAGATGGCAGCTCTCCCCTGTGTACCTAAGGTGGACAAACCCAATCACTGAGTGGTCTGACCTGGGCAAGGGACACAAATCAATGACTTCTTGCATCAGAGATAAGCAAAGAAGCCAACTGCTGCCAAACTGACGTCAGTGAAAGGAGAGCCCTGCGAATTTTCAAGGAAACCAGCTGGAAGGCGGGGCTCACCACAGCGATCCCTGATAACCAGGTTCCGGCCCTCCTTCAGGTGGATGGTCAGCAGGTAGGCAAAGGGGCTGGGCAGCTCGCTCAAGCAATCGTTGGCTTCCTCCAGAGCCTACGGAGAACAAAGACATCGGTCACCACCGCACAGCTCCTGAACCGGACCGTGAATGAAGCAGGCGTTCTCTTGGCTTTGCAGGGACAAAGTTCTCGCCTTTCCTTAGGGCAATCTTTTACAGAAAGGAAAAAAACAAACAAACAAACAAAAGATTTCTTTCCCAGGCTTTGTTTCATGATGTAAATAGCTAATTATCAGTATCATATGTTCAGCAAAGCAAGGGGTAACACAAGGAGGGTTACACCTGAAAATGAGTGATAATATTAAACAATCATAAATGCACGCACAGGTTTTCCAGATCCTACCGACTTCTTGCATCTTTTTTTCCTAGCTGTTTCTTGTGCATTCATAGAGTATCTCAAGCTGGAAGGGACCCGTAAGGACCATCGAGTCCGTTCATTCTCCTCTGATGAACTCATGAGGAAGCACACATTATTGCTACTGAGATGACAGCATTTCTTTACACAGATCTAAAGGAGAGACACGCAGCAGTGGGCATTCAATGCTACTCGTGAGGTTTTGCAGCAGCAAACTGGAGAGACTTCTTGCTCAGAGATGCTGTCAGGGTTATGCACAACAGCATCAGCATCATCCAGCCGGCACGTCTGGTGAAAACAGCCTCTGTATCAGAGGGCACACGTAGAGACGTTCATTGGAATAGGCAAATATGCTTTACGTGAGAAGAGCACGTGTCCAAACTATCAGTGCCTTTTCGTGCTGCTCTAAAACTGGGGTTTTGTTGTCTGTCAAACCCTACAGCCACATTAAGGCATTTGCTGCCTTTATTTTAATCCATTTTGTTCCTGGGCTGCTAGTCGAGCATTTATGTTGATGCTTTCATCAGTTACCAGTGCAACACAGAAATTACAGAATACTTTACAAGAAATCCAGAACATCTGGGCCTACTTAAAACATCAGCAACTGCCTTGTACTACTGGAGTAAAAACAAAAAAAAAGACAAAAAACCCCAAACAAACAAATAAATCCCCAACAAACCAAAATAAAACCACACTTGGGAAACCTATAGAAGGTTTCTTCATCTGCTGGGTTTTTAAATTTTAAAAAAGCAAGAAAGTGAAGAATCTGAACCTAAAATAAACTGTGCTTCCCCCAAAAATTCTGAACAAGTTTCAAAATGCTTTAAATGAAAGGACTTACCACCTGATCATCAAAAATTTGAGACGATATGGAAGAGTCTATATCCATTTCTCCACATGAGTACTATAAAAAAAAGATACAGTGAATTAGACAACAGTAATGTAGGGATCGAGAAAATACTCATACATGTGTAACCACTGAAATTCTTCTGCTTATGGAACCTCCCCCTCCATAATTTAGATCTGTATTTCTTCTTCCTGTTTTACGGTAACTGTACTTAGTCTCTTGAGCCTAATCTAAAAAACAAGGGCCTGCTTCCAGCTATTGGAACAAATTCTCCTCCTCCCCAGTAAAGACCTGTGCTTTCAGTGCTGAAGGTCCTTAACCACAAACTCTCCTGATGCCTGAAGGTTATCGCACCTGGTGACTTACCAGTCAGCGTTGCAATGCTGACCCCGATTCCTAAGCAGAATTTTATTTGTTGAATCCTCAAACGTCCTCACTAAGATCAAATACAAAACGCCAGAAAAGCTGGCAGCAGCAGCAATATCCTGGGGTCGGAGAGCAGGCTGCTCTCTCACTTGACTACAATTTGTCCTTCATCGCCCAAAAGGCAAGGTCCAGGAAAAGTTTTGGTTTGTCTGTTTTTCAAAAAAAAAAAAAAAAAAGCTCAGGGAAAAAATTAGAAAGAAATGGTCAAAAGGAAAGGGAAAAAAGATGTTGGACGTGTACTTCCCACCACTTTCTGCAGTAACTGGAAGATCCAAAGGATTTCATCTCGTGCGCAGCATAGGAGAGGAAGTCAAGCATTTCTTCCTAAATACTGATTCATCCAAAAACTTGAGGCTACGGTGGCACGGTGCCTAGACTGTCTGGACGCACAGAAGGGACCCATCGGTCAAGACACCTCTGATGCTGTTTTGACTGCTAGGGCAGTCTAAGGTCATCATTTTAGCCGAAGAGGACCTACGTGCCTGGGCAACTCTTTTGGTCTAATGCAGGGCAGCTACAGCCCATTCAAATACAAAGATTTATGCTAAGAATAACCTCAGTCTCCAGAAATGCACAGAGGTGGAATTCGATCCTCATGTGAAAATGTTATTATGTGCAGTGTTGTACCATCCAGATCGCTCAGATGAGAGCTGCATTGTGTGGAGAACTATACAAACATCAGAAAAAAAGAGCCTGCTCCTGCACCAAAGATCATATATCTTAGATACATTGATATGCTGAAACAAATACGCTTTTGTGTCATTCTTCTCCTCTTCCTCTCCCCCAAAATACATATATTACATATCAGGAAGTACAGTAATCCAGCATTGCAAGTAAAATTTCACTTGCATGACAGACAAAATTTAACATTATGGTTCCCACAGTAATCGTAACTTGGCCACCTTGCAAAAAATACATTAAAAGTAGAAAAATTATCATCATAAAGAGCAGCAGAAGAGTTTTCTCACACAACGGAGCTGAGTTACAGCTGCTAAGGGAACCCTAACTTTGAATTTCCTGAGTAGTATGCATAAAATCTCACTTGTGTGCATTAAACCTAGCACTTCTCACAGTCTCTGGCTTCACAGGAATCTCCTTCAGGCAACATCGTTGGCACTGATAATGGTTTCTCTTTACAGCTTGTTTTGCATGGCATAAACATAGAATTAAAGAACTGTATTGAAATTATAAAGAAGTACCCTCTCTGCTAGCTTGATATCATTTATAATAAAAAAATTACCCTCAAAGTTATAACTTTGTCTTTATTCTGCTTTTTGATTACTTGCATTACATCGACAGATTTTTAACAAAGATTATAATTTTAAATAAAAAGAGCTTGGTTTTTCATTTTAACTCCATATAACGAAAATTGCTATCATTCTAGGTAGCTAACTGCAATGAGATCACTGAGTACAGCCAAAAGCCTCGCTGAAAATATGGTCCCGAAATCTTGATTTTTATCTAACTACAGTGATGTTTCTGAACTTTAAAGTATAAACAAACGTGGCCACATCCACCAAGCAGGTCATAGGCCTAAGTGTATCCGTGTAAAAACAAATCAGACAAAAGCCTATAAATAAATATATACCAAGTGTTCCTCCTGACAAGATTTACAACCTCTATCTCCTCTCGTTTTCTGCAGAAGAATGATTCAAAACAGAAGGGCACCGAGTGCATCAGCGGCGGGACGAGGCTTTGGGCTGCCGGCGACTCACTGCACTGTGTTTGCAAGATGACGAAGAAGCCATGCTAGAGCACTTCAGCAACGACGCGTGACCACGGACAAAACCCAGCCGCAGAAAAGCGGCATTAACGGTGCCCTTTGCAACCCGCATCAGTCAGCGAGGGGTTCAACGCGACTTCAGCTGCTTCCTCCCCCTCCAGATTTGCCTTGCTGGGCTGCAGCAGAGAACAGATCAAGGAAATCTCTTTGCAAATGGAAAGATGGGACCTGTGGCAAGAGCCTTTACCGAAGCTGGCACGCTCCGAGCACCGACAGCTCTGTACCGACAGTTCAGACGAGTGTAAAAACCACAAGCCCACACTGAGCTCATGCATGAGGCTTGGAAAGCATCTGGTGATATTGGGTGACCAAAGCTAACCAGGAAATGAGTAGGTGGCATGCGACAAGCAATTCCGGGAGAAAAAAGCTCAACCTACATTTTTGCTTTTCTTGGTTTCTTTTATTCCAGGGATCTGCCTTCCTTCTCATTTACCTCACTGATCAGTAAATGATGCTCACAAAAGAATGATGTGTGCTACTGTCGTGCTCTCAACAGCAACCTCACCCAGTCATAGGAGACCAATAACCTCTGCAATAAGCTGTCCCCATCCCAGGCTCACAGAGCACAAATTCTGTAGCTGTTCAATGAAGTATGTGAAAAGCTGAATATTGATGTTTTTATTAAATTCAACTTCAACATAATAAAATTTATGCGATATTCCTTATCTGTCTCTACTTTGCTTTGCTCTCTGCTATGTAGGCTTTAGGAAAAACAAAACTATCTCCTTCTGCATTTAACAGCTGTAATTGGAGGCAGATTATAGGAAGGAAGGTAGGATAACCACACACTGAGAATATCTGGTATAAAAGTAAATATTAACTGACTTACACACACAAGCACATACACAAATACACACACAAGCACATACACAAATACACACACAAGCACATACACAAATACACAATTTGGGAAAGATCTAAATGCTGCAGAGAATAAGCCAGACTCAGACTGTGCTTATGGACAAAACTTGAAGTCAAGCTATGCCGTCACTGTACAGGTACCTCCTTCTCCTTAAGCACTTAGTTTGCCCGAAGTCGGAACAGGATTTAGGATTAACTTTGGTGATGCTGCAGTAAATTTTAGGTTAAGAGTTTCTGGTCTACAACAGTAGGAAAGAACTGCTGCTATCATTAAAACAACCTGGAAAAAACTCCTAAAATAATGATGCTCATCACGTTCAATCTGCCATACACTGAGTGAGTTCCTACAACTTTTGAGCGAAGTTTAAGCACAGAAGCAAAATTATATACTATTTTAGCTATTTTTCTTATGCAGACCCCTGAATAATGGTACACTCCAGTGAGTTGAACCCAATGTGTCAACGATTTAACAACACAAAACTGGAAGTGATGGTCACTAACTACCAGTCTGACACTCTGCACCACAACAGACCAGGAGCTAACACCGGTTTGATAACAATACACAGACCTTCAAGATGCAGCAGTTTCATATCAGAAAGGATCATTTGCCCCACAGCAGCACTAGCTGTCATTTTGAACATACAGTTAAAAAATGTTAATTAACCCATGAAATCACAGAATCACAGAATGTTCAGGGTTGGAAGGGACCTCTGTGGGTCACCTAGTCCAAACCAAAATGTCTCTTTCCCATTTTTGCATCTCAGATGACTACTACCATAACTGTAACATCGAAGTTATGGGTGAAAAGGCCTCAAAACGAAGTTCAAAATCTAACCTTCCCAGTGAAAACTCAACAGAGGGAGATACACTTCCACAAAATGTAAATAAAAAAATTTTGCCTAAAATGTTTCATGCAGCTACAGTCTTCACATGCTGTCCATATTACAAAGCCATCATGCAACTCCCCAGGATTCCCCACTTGCTCAGGCCACGCAGGAATTACTGTTTCATGTCAGATTTGAAGCACACTGGACTCGGATCCTCCTGGGACAGTATGTCCAGCCACAGAAACACTGACTGCAAAGGTGAAAGGAAAGGGAAGGAGGAGGACAAGGCGGGGAGTGCAGAGGAAATGTTTTGGTTTTGCAACCTGCTCTAATTAATCACGATGCAAACCCAAAGGACAGCCCTGAGCACGATGCTATGTGTTCACCGTTCTCCATCACGTGCTGGTTTTGGTTACTTCCAGGTACAGGCAGAGTTCACCTCGCTCACCCATCAGCTTTCACCTCTTGCCTTCAGCTGGATCGTGAGCGGGCAGATGGTAAATTGATTTTGCTATACAGCAATCCTAGTAAAGCTATACTAATTAAAAGGATCATATGGCAAATGTATCAGCAGCACGTTTCAGAGCTCAGAGGGCTGTCAGCACTTTTGACTTAAGCAAGAAATTCCAACAACTCTGAAAAACCTGAGGTATCACAACCTTGCCAAAATTAAAAAAAAAAAAATTACGGAGTGGGGTTACATTGCAGCTCCAGATTGACAGAAAGGATGATTTGAATTAGTCTCCAATAATTTATATATCATGTATGTTTTATGCTTATTTTTATCCCCCATTCATTCCTTGAATAGGGCTCCCTCCTCCATCCCCTTAACCCAGAGAATTAAGGAGAAGCAGGATGAGCCCGAGAGGGTCACCGAGCCCGGCGGATGCCCAAGCACCCACCTCTGCCCCGCCGTCCGACAGCGCAGTGCTCAGGCGGGCACTCTGCAGCAGCTCGAAGAGCTCGTTGCTGGACCTCCTCTTCCCCGTGGACACCGGGCCACCTGCGACCTGTGTGTCCGGGCTGGTGACCGTCACCTCCGTGTGCATCGCCGGCTGCGGCATCCACGGCCAGTCCTCGCCCGCCAGCCTCACCGAACTTCTGCTCCTCAGGGCCACGACAGACCTGGAGAAGCTCTTGGGTGAGCAGCTCGACAACACCCGAGTACTCGAGTAAGTCCTTTCTTCTTCCATAACAGTCTCCACCTCCAGCATATCAGGCACGGACACGCTGAGGCGTCGGTCCAAGGAGTGGACCTTCCTCTCCACTGTTTTGCTAGACCTCTTCTTTGTCTTCTTCATGCTGAGGTTTTGCAGGAATGGTCTAGTTTTCTGCTTCAGGGATCCCCAGACGGATGGCTTATCCAAGTCCATTGCTGCGAGGGGAATCTCAGCAACGTCTCCCGCACAAAACGGCTTCAGCGATTCCCAGGGTGACTAAAAGGAACGTAGGAAGCAGGCGAGTCAATCACGAAAGTGAACAGCTGCTGAAGATGATGATTCATGTTGTCTCATCTTGAAAGTTTCAGCCATTTTTCTAAACAGTTAAAACAAAATGTGCTGCATTAGTAAATGCTTCCAAATACAATCTGGTGGGTAGGTTTGATTATTTAGGAGGCAAACAGCCAGAACAAGTATTTAATCCTACACTAAAAGGTAATGTCTGCCCACAACTTTATGATTGCTAAGGGGAGACAATGTATTTCTTCCTCTGCCAAGTCCCAATTTGCAAAAATTTGAGATTTATCAAATTTGAAACACTTTCTGTACAAAACTTACTGATGGGAGTTAAATCATGATAATGCTAGCACACGACAAATTCTGGCAGAGCTGGCACCGTAATTCTTGCTGACGCTTTTCCAGCCTATGTGGGGGTTTTTGGGCTATTTCCTAGGCTATGTGGATTCTTCCACGACGTGTTAGTGGACAAGCACAACACAAAAAACAGCTCCACAAACTAAGTGGCTGAGACTGAAGAGGACACACAGGGCACGACAAATCCCAGCTGCCACCCCAGAACACTCCCTTATGTTCACCCACTGACAGCGAAAGTCACCGCTACAGAATTAGTTTTCATCATAAAGAAGGCAATACAGAGAAAATGAGGACAAAACTGGATGGATGGATCACTTACAGATTTTGAAAACCTGTTGGTGGTCTCCTGTCTTTGAGTTGATTCGTACTGGACATTTACACAGTAATGAGGGACAAGAAGAAAAGAACCAAGCCAAAATCATCTATTGTATCTGCATCGTCAGGGAGCGGTCGAACGGACACCTCTGTGCACAGGAATATCCTCGCAGACGGTGCCTTCTGTAGTTAACAGCTTAACAACCATCCTTATTCTGTGAAGCAGAGACAGTCAAATCATCATCAAGACTCACTACGAAAAAAGGTAATGAAACCTGCAGATTTACTCCTGTCCCAAAGACAAACACACACAGAGTTTACAGCATGCATCTATATCCTTAGATACGTATACCGTTAACTACATAACTGCTGCTCCCAAAACTCATTGCACATTTATGTTCTAATATTTGCATAGTTGGCCAATAATAACTTATGTCACTGTTTTCCTGATCACTAGGGAAAATGCCAGAAGAGGCAATAGAAATACAACTGTTGGATAAACCCAGACAGAGAAATCGCTGCCTCTTTTCAAAGAAATCTACTCTTCGTAAATTTGAATGAGGTTGTATAGCCAGTTACTTAATAGCTTATTTAAATAATTTTATGACTAATCCCACCGTATTGGAGAGTATTCAGGCATCTACAAATAAATGCTTTAACAGTATCACTATGTAACTAAAGCTGCACAATCCTCTCCCCATTTATATTGGTATATAAGTGATTAATGTCAACATCATTACATTCCATACAAAAACTAATCAGCGTTAATGGCATTACATGCAGTCACAAGGCAGTAACAATTTTTCCCTGAATAGGAAGCAGCACTACTATAGATTTATCAGCTCAACACAGTATTTTCCCCTCTACCTCCAGAAGTCAGACCCAGTATCAAAGTGCACATGGACAAAGGGAAATCATTTTTTCCCCTTCACAGCACCAATGAGAAGCAAAAACAATTTTCTGAACCTCACAGAAGATGTGAGGCACACAAAGGCATGGCAGGAGTTTCTTTTCTCACTGAACTCAGGGTGAAGTGCAAGATGATCAGATTTACAGGGGGAAGACAAAAGAAATAAATGCCAACCCTTACACATTTGACCCGAGAGCCAGGAAT